AACTAATATAAAGTCAATGAAAAATGTAAATACACTTTTTAAAGTTTTGAATATTAGGAGAAAGTATCATACCATGTCTTATATGTAGATTGTAAATCAGAGAAATAATATAAATCATAAAACAAAAACTAAAATTAAACAATATTCAGAAAATTAATTAAATATTATACCATGTCTTATATGTAGATTATAAGCCAAAGAAACAGTATAAATCATAAAACAAAAATTAAAATTAAACAATATTCAGAAAATTAATTAAATATTAATTAATTCAAAATTAAATCAAATATTTCAAAATAATATTCAAAAATTAAAATTAAATTGTGAGTCCAACTAATAAGCCAGAATGCAGTGTATCATATGTACGAATCTGTGATCAATTCAGAGCACTCACACAGTATTTGATTAGGTTAATATATATAAAAATGTCAACTAAGAGAAAGTTTTCATGATAGTAAAGAATTACTAGGAATAAAACATAACAAAAATATTGGAATATATGACTAGCACTTCTAACAGTTTGGGATAGGATATCATACTAAGTTCTACTATGTGGTGGATGTGGACAGTGTCCATGACACTTACTGGTGGCCAGGTGTCACTTGTGGGACTGAGCTACTGCTATTTTCCTTGATATACACCCTGTAGACCCAGATGGAATCATGACCCATTGGGTGCAGGAGAAGTCCATTTGTAGAGTGTGCTGATGGAAATATTTTACTGCTGTATACAAAAGAATAATTGAAAGACTGCTGTTGTATACCTCTTTTTCTCCTGTGTTTGTTTGCCCTATTTGATGAGTTCTTTCCATTCTCATTCATGGAATTGTGGTCATTTTGATCCCTCTGTAGAATATCTTTTAGTAGTCTGTGTAGGTTTGACTTTGTTGTCATGAAATTCTTTAGTTGTTCTTTGTCATGGAAATATTTCACTTCTCCATTAAACTAGAAAGAGAGTTTTGCAAGGTATATCAGTCTGGGTTGGAATTTGTTTTCTTGCAAGACTTGAAGTACTTTGCTCCATGCTCTTCTTGACTTGATGGTTTGTGAAGAGAAATCTGCTGTTATTCTGATGGGTTTTCCTTCGAATGTGATCTGTTTCTTTCCTCTAGTGTCTTTTAGTATACTGTTCCTGTGCTGAATTTCTGGGACCTTGATTATTATATGTCTGGGTGTGGTTTCAATTGGGTTGATGTTATTTGGAGTTCTTTATGCTTCAGTTACCAGAATGTCAGATTTTCTCCCATATTTGGGATGTTTTCTGCTATTACTTTTGTCCATGTTCTTTTTATATTATTTGTATTGACTCCTTCTTTCTCATTGATGCCTATCAGTCTTACATTGTTCATCTTTGCATCGTCTTGCAGATGTTGAATTATTTTTTTCCTGCATCCTAGGTTTTCTTTTCTTTTCTTTTTTTTTTTTTGGTATTTTTTCCCATAATTTTATTAAGAAGCAAATAGCAATGAGACAGTTTCAAACCAAATTGGTAGGACAGTTTCAATAAATAACACATTGCATACATTCTTCTTAGTGGTTAATTGCTGTACAAGATGCAGACATGATATCCTATTTACAAACACCATTA